GCGTGGCTCGGCCGGGCGGCGCTGCTGCTGGGGCGGCCGGGGGGCCCCGCCGGTGCCGTCGCCGCCGCCGTGCCCTGGTCCTGCCTGGGCTCGCTGAGGGGCCCGCGGTGCTGCTGCCACCGCCGGCTGTGCAGCCTGCGGGGCGGCGCCGAGGGGCTGCTCCTGCCGCGGGGGTCACGGGCGCTCGGCACCCACCCCAAGAAGGAGCCGATGGAGGCGCTGAACACGGCACAGGGGGCCCGCGACTTCATCTACAGCCTGCACTCCACCGAGCGGAGCTGCCTGCTGCGGGAGCTGCACCGCTTCGAGTCCATCGCCATCGCCCAAGGTGAGCCGCGACCCGCCCCGAACCCGGCGGGGAAGGGAGGGCCGGGCCGGAGCTGGGACGGAGCCCTCGAAGTTTGGGGCTCCTCCCGCCTTCGCCCAAGCGACTTCTTCGGGCGAGTAGGAAACTCCAGCAGGACAAGGCACCGAGAGGCGCACGCCCATGTGTGTTACCCTAATCGGGTATAAATGGGGCACACGACCTGAAATTTAGTTTCCAGAAGCATCCGCAGCACCTTCAGAAGTGGACCCAGCGTGCCAAATCCTCGGTGTGTTTGTCATCTCCCCAGGTGTTTCGGAGAGGCGCGCGTGGCCATTGTTTCGGAATGGGAGTAGGAAAGTGTGTCTCATAAAACCTTCTGACACCAGGGCAGCAGTAAATTGATTTCAGACCTCTGAAGAGGCTCTGGGCGGCTGTTGTTCACAGAGCTCATTCATGAGTTACACTTCCCCGCACGGAGAGCTGCCGACACTGCTTCGTGGAAGTGTTGGTTCTTGTGCGGGAAGGTGTGTTTGTGCTGGGGAGTTTGTATCTCTGAATACGGTGCTATGCAATCAACGCCAAGTGAAGTAATTCACAGTGATTCTTTTCCTCTGATCCAGCTGTTCTTGCCAACTTGACACTGTTCCTTAAAAAAATCAAAACGTGACAAAATCAAATCCTCTTAATTACAACCTTCTTACTCCTGGTTCTGATCCTTAGCTGTAATTTGCAATCCCTATTGCAGCGAAGATGATAGCAGGTACTTAAGAGATCAGTGTGCATTTGATCTAGGCCTCTTTCTGACTTTGATAGTGGCATGCCCTTGGAAAGGGCATTTCTGTGCCTGGTGTCTCTTCTGTAGTTGTCTGAAAGAAGTCTTGGGTGGGCAGAGAACAAGTCCAGCAGTCAGCTGTAGAAATGCTGCTTTTGCGAAGAGACAGACACCTTTCAGGTACCTCTACGGTTTCGTTTATAGCACACTTGCATGTAAACACTAGTGTTTCTAGTCAGAGCAAGAACAGTTCACTTAAGTGGTTCATTTTGGGAGCAGTGCTTCTGTTCTGCAGGGAGTCAATTGTATTTGTTTTCCAACATAGAGGGTAGTGTGCTTTGAGCTGTAAGTTGACACTAACTTTTGAATACTAACAACTAACACTCTTCCCTAGTAAATCCTTCTCAGCTTCTGAAGGGTTCTTGCTATGAGGTTTTTGTGTGAGTTTGTCTCATCAGTTATTGCTCAGGTGAAACAGGAGGAAGCTATGTACCCAGAGGATCATGTGGAGGATATCAAAATGAGACTTAAAATGTATTTCAATATAATGTCTCAAGGTTTATACAGAGATTAATCAACAGATGGTCCTATTTAATATCTTGTTGCTCAGATGCCATTAGTTATAATATGAAAGTCTATTTCTGTAACATACTCTGACTTTCTGATGATTCAGGATTTAGAAACACAAAGTACCAAAAGCGTTAGTTTGAGTTTAGAGACTTTACTGCAAGGAATCTCATTAGTAAACTGCAAATTTATTCCACCAGTAGAAATAACAGTGCACTGTGCCTGAAACTGTAAACGTTGATCTCACTGGAGAGATCGTTTCAGCAAAATCTCAGTTCTGGGCTCCGTAGTCTTGCAGGTAAAGGCTTCACAAAGTGTTGCAGTGCCACCGGACCTCAGTCCTTGGAGTCAGATTCTTGATCTGCCCGTCTAGTAGCTTGATAAGGCTTTTTTGTAGATAACCTTTTCCTTTAGCCAGCTCCATTCATGTTTTTGTGGTTTGTTGGTTTTTTTTGGTTTTCTTTTTTTTTCTACCAGACTGCAAAATGATAACGACTGTCGGCTTTTAAATCTCAGAAATTCTGTTTTTTCTTCTGTTGTGGAAAAAGAAAAATCATAACCTAGAAGGGCTTCTAGTAAGTCTGTTGAATAGAAATTGGAAAAAAACCTTATCTTGAAACTATTGCCCATAGACGTTTTCAGTAGATGATTGATATTGACAAAATTCAGATTTTATGTTAAGAAAGGCAATGCATGTAGAGCCAGGCTCTTGTGGGTTGTCGGATATGTATCATCACTCTCAACACTAAGGAGTGTCAGAAGAAGAGAAAGTGGATAGAAGGACTGTTCTGGAAAGAAAATTAGAGAATTTCTGAGCTACATGTTCATATTGTGTGCTCAAAATGCTTTATTATGTTTAGGTAATATTTTGTGTGATCGTTCTTTCCTGTTGTTGAAATAGTGACTGTCTAGGAATGATCTGAATAGGTATGCTGGTTGTGAGTGTGAGTAGGAGATGAGGGGAGAGGTATTTGAGCCTTGCTTTCCAAGTACTTTCTCCGATTGATTAGTGTCACTTTTGGCTTTTACAACTCATGAGTTCAGTCAAGTGAAGTGGTTTGAGATGCTGGGTTTCTTCTCAATCTTCTCATTCAGTGGCATCATGCTGTAGCTCTCAGTAGCCGATTCTTTAGCTGAATTTGCTAGTCATACCTTTGTGTTGTTTTCCAATGAAAATGATCCAAATGCAGCCTTCAAATTCTCTCCTCTTCCTACTGAGTAATTCCCGTGTCCTGTTTGAGTCTGAAAAATCAGTCTCTCCTTAATCATGAAATGCCTATGCAGTCTTTGCCACTGTGCTTAAGCTTGTTTTGTACCTGTGATCTTTTCATAATTCTTTATGGAAAGTGAGGTCTTAGTCCATACCCTTCATAACACAGTCCTTACTGGGTTAAGTTTTGACCTTCTTCCTTCACTACCTCTTCTGTGCCCTAACAGACCCCATATCAGCTAGGGGAAGCTGTCAGCATTATGGGGAGACCTGGGCACATCAAGAACCAAATGGGGCAAGTTCCTCAGCCCATTCCCAGGCCTACCACCAGAAGGATGCAGTTCCATCACCTAATTGCCCTAGCACGAAATATGACAGGACACACTATCTGTGGCCTCCGCTAATGGCAGAGGCTGCAGGGAAACCCATCCCTTGCTGCGGCCGCTACGCTGAAGGACAGTCCTCAGGTAGGTGAGTCGTAGCTCTAACCTGTAAGTTAGGTGAGTCTCTGAAGCGTTTTTGAAACCTAAAACATCTGTTTGCACTGTAGTCACAAAAACTGTAGGTGGGGAGAGGTGTTTGTGACTGTGTTCCTACCATTACTTGTCACCTGTCTTACCTGGATGTTTACAGAGCTTCCAGATGCTGGGCACTAGCAACCGGTTAAACAGTGTAACTTATTAATAAACACTGGGATTCTGCTGTTTATTTAAGTGCATCAGTAGACGGAGCTCTATCTGTGAGCATGTGATGGCTGAGAGCTGAGAGCCTGAGTTTAATTAATAGATGTGTTTTGCACAGAACCTGGGGGGAAGACTGTGAAACTGAATCTTGATTTAATAGTTCTCAGAAAATGTTTTGAAAACTGTCCTGATTTGGACTATAATCTGTACCTTACTATCTTAAAGTGTAGTCGAAACATCACTGAGCTGTTCTTTCTGAAGATAGCTCCGAATCCTTCTCACTTGGATTTAGTTTTCCTTCTGCATTGAAGTATCTTTTTTTTTTTTTTTTTTTTCCTTTCCAGTCTTGGAAAGCTGAATAAGGTCTCACATTTTCCCAGGAAGAGATTTGAAACAAAGTTTTAAAATTCTAGCTTGTGTTTCTTGTAAACCTGTCAGCCACACCCAGCCACAGTAGTAGGAGATGATACATGTGGACATGTTGAATCCAAGTAATTTGTATATTTCTGTTTCATAGTTACAGGAACACTGAAGTAGTAAGTAGGTGAGTTCATTTTAAATCTGATAGTACTGCCTTACTGTTTGTAGGAGTGATGCCCCATAATCAAGGCTTAGTTTTGTTGACAACAGACAGTCAAATCTTCCTTGCAGTTGTTTCTTTCTTTCATGGTGGAGATGAATGTGTAAAATCTTACAGGCAGTACGAAGAATGACTTAATGCCTCTAACCTTCTGTAGCAATATTTCATTGACAGAAGTGGTATTAGGAAGAAGATGTAACTTCTTTCTTAAGGGGCTTATATAGGGGGTTTCTACCTTTAGTTTCCAGTGTATGATATGAGATGATTCAAGAAAGCTGCACTCGTAAGCAGTGCAGCAAACCTGGTGACGAGGGGAAAAAATACAAAAGGGTTTGACTTGTTTATGTAAGAGATACTGAATTTGGCATGTCTGCTGTGCCTTTATTTCTTCTTAGGGTACTATTAGTCTTACCTGTGCTGTATTACAATATTCTTGAGCCCAGATATAACTGATTTTCGTTAATAATACTAACATGCTGGTGTCTAGGACCTCTTAGAAATCTCAGATCTTGACAGTGACAGAATCCATTATTTTCCCATCTTCTGTTGCAAATATGGGAAAACAATTCCTGTTTTTCTATTTTTGTGTTCATGTACATAAAATCCATATACTATATATATGTGTGTATATAATACATAAAAAGGGTGTTTTTAACATGATGTATGTACATTGAACACAATTTCTTGAAAGCACCCAGTTGTATTTTATATTTTAAATGGAAGACTTTTGTGATGGGATCTCTAAATAAAAGATCTTTTGACATGGAATTTCTTGTTTCTCTGTGGATTGAGGTTTAGTATTAATTGGAAGACATGCAAAAACACCATAGCAATGCAGTCTTGACAGCTGATTTTGTTGTTTAATTTGCAGGTCTTGGAGAATACAGTCTCTAGCTAGATTCTCTTTGAAGGCATTGGTATGTCATACCATACATAATAATCTGACCAAGCCAGCACATTCTGATAGGAAACTGTTCATAAGTTCAAGTTGCTGCATTTTATTCTTGTTAAAAAAAACCAAAATAGTGTGCAGGTAGAAGGCTCCACTTGTGTGCATTCAGTCAAGCTGACAGCTGGGGCAGAATCTCTGAGAGAATTAGCAAGGTTTTAGCCATTGTTGGATAAAATCTTACTTTGGTAAGTAATTATACCTCTCTGGCTTATGATCTGGTGTTAAATTAATGAGCTCTCCAGTTTACTGGAATAGCTGAGGGAGTGTTTGAACCTACGTGCCTCTACTTCCACAGCTTTACAAAGAAAAGTTAATTGAAAAGACTGCAAATGTCATCAAAGACAAATGGATTTCATTCAGGTTTTTAGACACTCAAAACATAATCTCCTGTGAAAAAGATTCCCTTTGTTGCGTGAGTCAGATGGTTCTTGCTAATATGAGCAAACCAGTTCATCTGCCTTGGTGGTTCAGAACCACTTGGATTTTAGTACCTCTTTTTGTTAGAACTTAATCTGTGCTAAAACAACAAAGCTTAATTCAGTCCTTATGGAAGTACTTGTCTTGTTTGAAGAGTGATTTCACAGTGCAAATGTGAGGTTTCCTGTGAGGACTGCCCAACCCCTTGAGCTGGGAGAAGAGGAATTGATCTTGCTGTTGTGCTTTGACAGGTCCCATGGCATCTGATGGAGAGTGTTCTCTCGCTCTCTCCTTTACAGACCCAAAATATGCAGGCAAACTGTGCTGTGTGTGAAGGAAGATCATCTACCTTTTTCTCCCTTTCTGTGACCTAGGGGTCAAGAAACTTTTTTAACTCTAGTATTTAATTGCTATTCTAGGAAAATGTCTTCTGGCAGACTACTGGCAAGCATCTAATGCACAAGTTCCAAGTGCCCTGTCAAGCTGGTAAAATGACAAACTCTTGCCATCCTGTCTGTGTGAGTCCCTTTATGTTCTAAACCATCACAGGGTACACCAGGACTAGGGCTAATCTCACTGCTGAGTCAAAAATATCTGGTGGTGAAAGGAATGTCATGTTTCAGATGGAAAGATGTGCTACTTCTTTTTGCTTTTGAAACTTTTTTTTTTTTTTAATGTACCCCTCAGCTCCTGCCCAAAGTCATGGAACCCTCTCATGAAGGCAGAGCGCAGAAGGAAAAGTGTTGCGCTGGCACTACTGATCATTTTCCTTAACACGTGAACCTCACGAAACACAGAATCATAAAATATTCTGAGTTTAAAGGGACCCATCAGGTTCATTGAGTCCAACTCCTGGCCCTGCACAGGACATTCCCAAGAGTCACACTGTGTGCCTGAGAGCGTTGTCCAAACGCTTCTTGAATTCTGTCAGGCTTGGTGCTGTGACCCCGGGGAGCCTGTTCCAGTGCCCAGTCACCCTCTGGGTGAAGAATCTTTTCCTGATACTGGACCTAAACCTACCATGACACAGCTTCAGGCCATTCCCTTGGGTCTTGTCACTGGTCACCACAGAGAAGAGATCAGAGCCTGCCCTTCCTCTTCCCCTCCTGGGGAATCTTCAGACTGCGATGAGGTCTCTCCTCAGGTTCCTGTTCTCCAGGCTGAATAAATTAGAGTTGTTCAGCCTGGAGAAGAGAAGGCTCTGGGGATATCTTACAGCATATTCCAGTACATAAAGGGTATTTACAGGTGTGCAGGAGAGGGACTTTTCACAAGGACATACAGTGATAGGAGAAGGGGAAATGGCTTTAAGCTGGAGGAGGGTAGGTTTAGATTAGATATTAGGAAACAATTCTTTACTGTGAGGGTGGTGAGACACTTGCACAGGTTGTCCAGAGAAACTGTGAATGCCCCTTTTCTGGAAGTGTTCAAGGCCAGGTTGGATGGGGCTTTGAGCAACCTGGTCTAGTGGCAGGTGTCCCTTAGCGTTGGAACTGGATGATCATTAAGATCCCTTCAAACCCAAACTGTCCTGTAATCTAGCGGCTGAGGTTTAATGTCATAAACAAGAAAACTGGTGCTTGGTCACTGATGGTAAAACTATTCTGAAACTGATTTCTGAAAATGTCAGATGAAACTGGCTATCTCTGATCCACCTGCAGCAAGGTACTGTTTTCTGAAGTTCTTGTTGATTTTGCTATTGTGGTTTGATTTGCTTCCCTGTTCTGAAATTTTACTTGCTCATGTAACTTAAAGCAGGTTCTAGTCTGAGTTCTCTGCTTGCATTCAGAAACTTGCTGTATGTTTTTTGCAGAGGAAAGCCTGCAAACATTCGAGTGAAATTGTTGTAAAACCTAGAGAAATCCAGTCTTAATATTTATAAAGGATCTTTCCTTGCTGACAGACACTCCGGTATTGATTGGAAGATTTTAAATAATGAATTATTGCTGTTTTGCTTTTGAAAAATCGTTGTAGCATTCAGGTATCCTAAACCACTGGTACCACTTGAGAAGCCAGCAGAGGAGGTAGTGTCACCAGAGACGACTGATGATTTTGGTACAGTAAAAAAACCCCAAGCAGAAGTGTGTGTTTGCTGAGACCTGTGTTGCATAAGGCCAGCAAGCTGCTGGTTTGACAGACTTCCCACTTGCTTGTTGTGGTGCAGTTGGCATGGAGTGCTGCAAGAAATAGAAGTATGCAGTTTCTGCTCATATTCGTATAAAGCCTTCCTTCTCAAGAATTTCAGTAATCCACATCTTCAGAGACTTAATGTGACCAAAGCATTTCAAGTCCGGGTCTTGTGGAAACTTCTGAGCTATACCCTAGTTTCTAGTTAATAATTTGATCAGAGATTTCAGATTGAAACAGCTTCATTTATTTGAAGAAGCTCAGTGTCAGCTACCTTATGCTTTTTTCTTGTAAAGTGGTGGGCATTAAATACATGGTCCAAATATAATGCAGAAATAATATTATTGTTACAAAACATCATTCTTTAGTTACTTACCTTTGCCCTTCCCTACAAAATGTAAAATAAGATTACTCCAATTAAAATTTGTTTTGTCTTTTGCATGTGTTTAAGCATGTGATGAGTACAAAATAGGTGTCATGTACAAATAACTTTTAAATCATGAATCAGAAAAAAAAATCTGAATCTTGACCCATTGTTCTTCAACTGTGTCTTGTTTAAAATAATATGTTTTATAGCTAAAAGGAAAATCTGTTTCCCAATAACTATCCTATCTGGCACAAAGGGTGCTTTTGATTTCTGTCCTTTTAGGAAAGATCACTTGAAATGCAACTTCTACTTACAGTGCCATGTAAACCTCTCAGAGTGAT